TTCCGATGTCATATTTTATCAAATTCTGACAGAAAATTCTGCACAGTATTTTAGATGTTAGTCATGTTTACTCATGGATAGCTACTTTAATTTAGAATATCAATATTGAATTTGGATCAATTGTCGAAAAGAGATCGAAAATTGTTAGCAAACATTTATAGCGATATGGTGTAATTATTTAAATCGAATAAAGAAAGAAGCGGGGCGAAATGTTGATTGCGGAGGACAAAAATTAAATTAAACCGCAGAGATATATCTCTTCTGAGATATATTGATCGATTTCGTGTTGTACGAAGAAAATGCAAATTCTTGCTAAATTCCGAGGCGAGGTAAGTATCGTCATAGTTGAATAACGTAAGTATGCGATTTAACGGTACGTGTTGGTGCTTTACGCGGATAAAAGTAGATTCATCGACGTGTTGCATATCGAGAAGCGCGGTAGCAAATTATTTAAAAAATCTGAGAATCGTTATTGACGATTGCATAGGATAATCCATCCAGGGAGATAATAGCGGAGATAATTGCCGTAATGTTGAAAAAGCAGAATGCTCGATTTGGCAAAAATTGGATTAACGAAAAAAAATACAAAATTCTTCCTTTAAAAAAATGTCATATGTTCGAATATAGGGCATTGTGTTTTTCAATCAGAAAACAAACTATATATATTCTAATTCTTTGAAAACATTAAATTATAATTATAAATATATCCGCGTATTAAATCATCACGCATATTAAATCTGTTTGCTACGAATAAAATCAATTGCCAAGAAATCTGAAAATACGTTTATAATCCACGATATTTATAATCGATTTCATAATGAATAAAACTGTCAGATCATCCGCAATTAGAGTATGTAATCCGTTGGCGCAACTAACAATAAAATTCGAACATAAAAAATATGAGAAACTCCATTAAACCATATGTTTACAACACGATTGTCACTATGAATTTGCTACACTATGAATTTAGAGCGAGTAATGAGTTCTTGCGATATCAATTAAAAAACTAAGAGTAATAGAATATATTTCCAAACTGCAAAGTGGAAAAATAGAAAGGGTGCGAAAAAATTAAGGTAAATAATTTGTAGTTATTTTTATCGCAGTCGTAATATTTGAATAATGATTCAAGAAATAGCCAACACGCGCGGGCGCGCGCACTATCTCGATATCATATTAACACAATTTTAATAAAATGTTCTAGTTCTATTACTCTCAGTGCTTTGTTATTTCTTGACACACGGGTATACAACGCGTATACTTGCAAGCGCAATTGCATATCGCGCGTCAGCCAAGTTCTCGTTATTTGAAAATCTCGTCACGAAGCCGCGCCAAGTGCTTCATTTATTTCGCTACGACTCGTACCGCTCTATGCCATTTTCTTTCTCATTCTAATTCCTTCATAACGTCGCGGCGTGTGCAAACGAACGGCGTGTGCATTCGTGTATAGAGGTACGAAGAACATATATATGGACATGAAGACCCCCCACTTTGATCTACTCTCTCACTTGCAAAATTACATTCGCACGTGTAACGGATGCTTTGCCTATTTTTTCGCATTTCGTATTTCATTAACCGGATATTGCAGAAGCTCGCGATGATCCTCCTTCGTCAATCAGCTGATTGCTCGCGATCGTAATGTAATGATTTCCTGATAAAATTCTGTCTGCGTTTATAACGCGCAGAAAAATACCAGCGACATCAACATCAAAATATATTGAGAATGCGATGCAAATTTTCAAAACTTACTACTCATATATAATTGAATAATTTATTCCCGTACGATATTCACGAGATTTCATTTTTTGATATAATGCAGAAGTCCGATACGATGCGTCTCAATCGTCAACTAGAATCGGGAGTTCGTTCGACTTGTGAACGGGAAGCTCTGAAATCTCATTGTCAGATTAATATTAGACGCGCGATACCACCAAGCTCGTACTCGACTTATCGCGAATGCTAAAAGGATATAATGCTAAAAGTTTCGTAACGTCGTCGCACTTACGTGCCGCATTTTCTCCGCATTGTCCGCGCGCGTGTTAACCCATCGCCGCTGAATCGATTCTCCTCCTCGGCCGGCCACGTCGCGCTGGCGTGTGCCCAATCCAATTCCGAACGATCGTTTTACTCATTAACGAAACTTCGTGCATCGACATTGACGTCAACGCGCGAAAGTGTATTTTGCGTCATCTCGATCTTCCCCGAGATAAAAAGAGATGATCGTTCGCGCGTGGCTAATACAATCTTCGATCGTGTAATCGCGGCCACCGTTGCCATTAGCTTCCAATCGAGTAATCTTTATCGTCGACACGCTTCGTTAGCATCTGCGATGCTTATTAATTCGCCATCGATTTTCAGTACTTTTTATCGTGTCCTACATTGTGCGCTTCATTTTTCTGCCGATATAACGTTTATGTCGTCAAGATTGCTAATCACAATTATACTTGTGTTTCCCTTTTGCTTTACGCGAGCGGTTAACGCGAGTCTTTAAGTTCAAAGATGATAGTAAGATTTAGAGAAAGATTTAAATCTCACGACAACATCGACGATTACGCTCGCGTACACATTAAAAATCGCATTTACGAGGAAGCTGTTAGCGCGATTTAAACTGTTTACAGCTCTTGATAGCTCCTCGTTTCTTCCAATATTGATATTCTTATGCCAATAGTAACTAGAATATATCATTACTGAGGGGGATTCTCTTTCTTTCGTATACAATGATTCGAGATGGTTAGTATCTCTGTACGTTTGCACATTTATCTTAGAGAATTAAACATTTAATCTTCCAAGATAATGCAAATAATAATACATCGCGAATGAAATGCTATGCAAGGGAAACTGTAATAATCGGAAGTTGATCGCGTGCGGATGCAAAATTACTGCAATGGTGGATATATCCGATTTGCTTGCGTATATATATATATATAGGAATATTTCTCACGTGACAAGTGAATTTTTTTTTATCGCGAATATAAAGAAACTATATACCGTCTCCTCCAATTGGCCCGTCATCGGCGCGATCGATGAGAAAAACGTGTTTCATATATAAATTATCTCATAATTATTGTGTGTGTGTGTGTGTGTGTGTGTATATGTATGTTGTGTGTGACGACTAGTAATATAAATATGAATCGTACTCACGGGGAATACGCAGATCGTACTCTCTTTCTCTCTTCCTTTCTCTCTCATTCGTTCTCTTTCTCTCACTCACAACGAATAAAGAGGATAGAGACAAATAGTAGACAACGAACGATGCACGATATGACTCGTTTCACAGTACGGTACCTCTCTCTTGATTCATGTGTGTAATGCGAGGATAAACGGAATGGACGAGTGGAGGAGGGGCTATCGAAGGTTTGGAGGAAACATCGGAGGAGAGAAAGACGCTACGCTTGTGAGGCAGGGAACGGAGGGAAGGAGGGAACGTCGTTCGAAAAGACAACGAGAGACTATATGTACAAGGTAACTTCGGTACGGTGACATTTCCGATACTACTAGTTAATCATTAGGAATAAACTTTACACGTGGCTCTCTCTCTCTATAAACCGGATCATAAAGCTATCTCGAATGGATAAGGGGAACGGGAAGTGTGGGAAGGAAGGGGAGAGGGGAGGAGTAGGGAGATATGAAGGTACTAAAGGGACACACACACATATATATTATACAGCCGTTATTACGTTAATGAATCGATTGACCGGCTAAAAAAACAGATTTCTCCATGTAAAAAGTGATGCTGGCGTATGACGTCTACTACACACATACGTAACAACCGAGAATTATGTGTATCTATAATTTTTGAATGCTCAACGCGCCGGCGTATAAACGTCTCTTATCATTCGTATTTCCCGTTTCTCTTTTCCTTCTCTTTAGTTATTTCATCCGCGAAACGCAACAAAACATCCGAATTACCACGCGCCGTTTCGTATATCCTTTTTTTCTCTCTCCCTCTTTCTCTCTCTCTCTCTCTCTCTCTCTCTTCCTTTCTCTCTTGGATAACACATCCTTCCTACCAGTTTCGCTTACGCGATAAACTTCGTCCCGAAAATCTCCGTTTCGCGTTGTCGAAAGCTTCGATTACACGAGAATGCGCTCGCGCGCGCCGGCACACATATACATCCTTCTCTCTTTCTCGCCTTTCTCTCTCACGCTCTCTTACTCTCTCTCTCGAAAAAAGCGAATCACCAACGTGGTGACGACACCGACGACGAAGAAGCGCCGCGCCACTTTGGCCCGACGACGAGGCGCGACTACGACGACGTGTACACGACGTACGTATCCACCTTCTGTTACGAACAACTTGCCGAGCCGGCGCCGCGTTCAAAACTCGGCGAACTCCTTGGCGCACTTCTCCGTCAGCGAGATTCTCAGGGTTTCCTCCTCATAATCATCGAAATTGCTGGTGTCGCCTGGTCCCTTGCAGCGCGGTATGAAAGGCGCCTCTATTCGCTTCTGGAAGACGGCTATCCAGTCAGTGCTGGCGAACCACTTGTGGCCCTTGATGTCGTTCACGCCCGCTTTGAGATTGCCGTACCTCTTGGTAAGGTCAACCTGCAGCAGGTTGCGCAGCAGATCCTTCAGGTCGGAACCAAAGTGCGAGGGAAAGCGTGGCTTGCCGCTCACGATCTTCTCGTAGATTTGGATAGGTTGATCGGCGAAGAATGGAGGATATCCTGCGGCCATCTCGTAAACCAAAACGCCCAGCGCCCACCAATCCACCGCCTTGTTGTAGCCCTTGCTGAGGATAATCTCGGGCGCCAGATATTCTGGCGTGCCACACAGGGTCCACGTCCGACCCTGTACCCTCTTGGCGAAGCCAAAGTCGGTGACCTTGAGGTAACCTTGTGAGTCGATCAACAGATTCTCCGGCTTCAGATCCCGATAGATGAGATCGAGGTAGTGTAGGTACTCAAATGCGAGTACAATCTGAGCCGCGTAAAAACGCGAGTGCGGTTCAGAGAAGCGGCCGACCTTGCGCAGGTGGCTGAACATCTCGCCACCGGGCACATACTCCAGCACCATATACAGGTAAGAGTTATCCTTGAAGTGGAAGCGCAACGATACGAGAAACGGGAAACTGATCGCTTGCAGTATCCTCTTCTCGTTGAGCGTGTGCTCCACCTGCTTCAACTTGACGACCTTCTGCTTGTCGAGTATCTTCATGGCGTAATACTCCTTGGTGGGTTTGTGCTGGACGATCATCACGCGGCCAAACGAACCGGTGCCCAAAGTCTTGATGCGCTCAAAGTCGTCCAAAGCAGCGGTGTTGGTTGGATTCTTCTTCCATTTGTCCTCGAATTCTTTCTTCGCCTTATCGAGGAATTCCTTGACGCTCTCGGCGGCATCGACCTTCTTGTTAGCAGTCGCGGCATTGTTGCCCATTTTAGCCGCGCTGGTGCCCGAGCCTGCCAGGGCAGCTCTACGGGGCTCGAGATAATCCAGAGGACTGCTACGTCTTCGTCGGCGTACGTCCGTGTCCGCCGAGCCTGCCAGGGCTCTGCCGAGCTCCGGTTTCCTCAGAATTTTTGCCACCTTCTACCGCGGGCTGCTGGTGGCCAGATGTCGATTGGTCGCACCTCGGCAACTAGACGAAGAGCTTCGTGTCAACGGTAACGACGATAACGACGGATTCTCGCGTCGCGTTATGTCCTTGTACCCGAACCAAGTCCTTCGAGGAGACTTTCGCGAGGAACGCGACGACGACCTCGCGACACGCTGGAAATGAGACAGATCATACACGAAGAAGAAAGATAGAGGACAGGCCACGCACACTCGCGCGATTATCACACGGTACAAAAACGGGTTACACACACATACACGCAGGAGGAGAAGCGCGCGCGCGAGCGCGGCGCGAGAGGGCACCCTCCCGGCGCAACTCCAGAGTACGTTCTCTCTTTCTCTTACACTCTCCTACGTCTGCCTTCCCTGCTGTCGCCGACTATATTTCTCCCGGCGAATGTCACCACACTCCGCAAACGGTGCTCGCCCGTGAGTGAGAGGGGAAGGGGCGAGGGTGAGATTTCTCCTCCTCCGTCGTCCTTCGGCGAGAGGCTCCCGACACCCGGAGATTTGGCGCGTCGGAAAAAAAATGGGTCAGCAGCGATCCTCGTCCGCGACTCGCGCCATCTTCCCTGTCAATTGTACCAGTTAGTCGTCGTTGTCGTCCAGCACGGCTGCGAGGTGCCGTTTCTCTCTCTTTCCTTTTCTCTCGCACGCTCGTGCCGTTCTATCCCACCCGTTTCAATGTCCGTCTATTCTCGATCCGCTCCGTTTTTCGAGACTACTACTACTGTCTCAGTCTCCTATCCCGAGAAAAGTCACACAGCGCAAAACTCCGTTGATTGTCACTCACACGTACGGCAGAGCCCACTTGCGCGCCGCGTTTATCATCTGAAGGAACGAAATGCACACTGATTATATGTGAATCGCGATCTCGTTCTTGACGCGACAACAGCAGCCGTACGACACTTCGGGGACCACACGTTTCCACTTACCGTTGCTTCGTTCGTTCCTTCTCGCCAAGTCCTTGTTCCCCACGGCTACGTTCCTCCTCGCGACGAGAAACGAAGACAGTGACAGTGAGGATCTGGAGAGGAGAGAGGGACGATGTCGTCGGGCGAGGAAGCTACTCGCGGCGCGCACCTCGCTTCCTCGCGCCCCGGTCCCGGCCCCGGCCCCGGCACGGATGTAATCGAGCGCGTACGACGCGCACCAGCCGATGTCTCGGGGGTTTTTGCT